CTTGCCTTGGCCTCTCTCTCTTCAGGCCGACTCAACATTACCTACCCCATGCTCTTCAAGCTGACCAACAGGAACTCGGACCGCACGACGCACTGCGGGGTACTGGAGTTTGTGGCAGACGAGGGCATCTGCTACCTCCCACACTGGGTGAGTGGGACCTCCCTGCCTCTGGAGGGCGGGCCTATCTGGGGGTTGGGGCCTCATAGCTGGGAGCTGGCGGCTGATGCCACCCCTCCCACCCTGCCCGCAGACTCTCAGAGGCTGGCAGAGACCTCGTGCTGCCGCGACTGACCTCCGTAGCCCCCTCATTGGCCTTCTTCCTGCCATGTCTTTAATTCACTTGCTCCTTTTTTCTTTCCTGACATCAAATCACAAATTATCTGTCCCCAAACCCTTGTCTCAGGCTCCTTTTCCAGGTCCCCAAAGAAGAGGCCCTGTGAACGTGGGACTCTGCCCTGCCTGGCTTCCTCATACTGGTCTCCTGACCCCGGGAGCCTCTCACCGCCCTCTTCTTCCTCTAGATGATGCAGAACTTGCTGTTGGAGGAAGGGGGCCTGGTTCAGGTGGAGAGTGTCAACCTTCAAGTGGCCACATACTCCAAATTCCAGCCCCAGAGCCCTGACTTCCTGGACATCACCAACCCCAAAGCAGTGTATCCTTCTGAGACAGGAGGGCTCTAGACAGAGGTTGGGGGCTGGCAGTCTGTAAACAACCAGCACTCTCCTGAGTGTGCGCCTACCTTGGGAACCACATGTTTGTGATTGAAGTCATGATTTGAGAATTTCCCTGTACAGCCATGTCTCCTCGGCCTGGGCATGCTGGGCGCTCTGGGGGTCTCTTCTGGGTGCTGCCCAGACACTGCCTTGCAGGCAAAGGGGAGTTCTTCCTTTGAGTGTACTGCCTGTGGCAGCTGGCACGAAGCCCAGTGTGTCCTGGTGCAAGGGGGGTTTGCCAGTGTGTCTATAAGCCCCCAACCCTGTGTGGCCCCTGGTGTCTCAGCTCAGCCATGAACTTGTTGCACAACCTCACCTTTTACCCAGACTGAGGGCTTTTTACTTCAAACCTGTGGGGAGCATTGACAGTACATTTCCTGTCTCAGCAAGAGAAAAACAAAGGTTTTAGGTTTAATGATTTTTGATACGTTCTCTGAATGTAAACCAGACATGTGTGTGTTTATAATTTAGGGAATGACCAGTGGAGGGGAGGGGTGTGCTGTGTGTGGGCTACCATCAAGCTCTACCTTAGGTCTTGGTGAATCATTAGGGTGGTCACTCCACTGTCTATTTTAAAAGGGGGTTTGCCAGTGTGTCTATAAGCCCCCAACCCTGTGTGGCCCCTGGTGTCTCAGCTCAGCCATGAACTTGTTGCACAACCTCACCTTTTACCCAGACTGAGGGCTTTTTACTTCAAACCTGTGGGGAGCATTGACAGTACATTTCCTGTCTCAGCAAGAGAAAAACAAAGGTTTTAGGTTTAATGATTTTTGATATGTTCTCTGAATGTAAACCAGACATGTGTGTGTTTATAATTTAGGGAATGACCAGTGGAGGTGAGGGGTGTGCTGTGTGTGGGCTACCATCAAGCTCTACCTTAGGTCTTGGTGAATCATTAGGGTGGTCACTCCACTGTCTATTTTAAAAAATTCATGCTTGAAAAAAAAACGGTTGAACCCAGGCAGGTGGACAGTGTTAAAAAGCTGCCTCTACCCTCCCTGCTGTGCTCTGAGCTGCAGCCCCACCCAGGAGCAGGGTGCTGCCGGCCAGGTCCTGGACATGGGGGGGTTTAGGGCACTGGGCTCACAGCAGTCGGTGGAGGCTCCCTGTCCTGCAGGCAAGATGGGGTCCTGTGGCAAGATCTGGTTAGCTTGTCCTCCAGAGCCCTGCCTGCCAGTGCCCGGGACTGGGGTCTGCCACTGACCACAGCCTCTTGTAACCCTCTCTCTGGATTTTCATGTATTGTGGTGCAGACTCACTGGATTGCTTTCAGAGGCTCTTTCTGTGGGCGTAGTTAATGTGTTAGTGCCTGGAGGAGTCACGTTCATCAGCTTAGAGGCAAGCTGGTGTCCCTAGTCTGGCCGATGGTCTAATAAAGCAGGGAGCAGCGAATGCCGAGCTCAGAGCCACTATGCAGGAACTGTCTCCACCCTCAGGGGCTGAGTGGGCTGGTTCCGACAGCTCGGATGGACCGTGCCGCACAGGCTCACCCAGAGGAGTTCAGGGAAGAACACCCATGCGGTGTGGCATCTCAAGCAAGGACGCAAACAACATGCCACACAAGGCCTTTTTCACCGAGCTGTTCTCACCCTGGAAGGCCGGCCGGCTGAGAAGGGAGGCTGGACAGCCCAGCTCCTCCACCCTTGGCCCTCTGAGGTTCTCACCGGGCATGCCAGGTCACAGTGCCGAGTTCTGAGGCTGTGTGTCGTTTGATCTTTCTCTTTAAAATAATTCTGTAAATTGGTTGAGGATGACGTGGTTGAAATATTCCATGTGACTCAGCATTATTCCCTTGCCTGGGCATTTTGGTTATTCAGTTCTTAATAATTTATTACTACTTTTCACTATAAAAAGGGTTTACAGGTTACTTTTTCCTTTTTGATTTTTGTTTTTTTAATACTCATTTTGCAACATATCCCTAAATTGGGTTACTGCCTAAAAGAACAAAAGTGTACATGAGAACATCTTTGAATTTTGAGAAAGTTTTGAAGGGATCTATTATGATTCATTTAATCTTTTTGTCTCTGTGCTCCCATAGGATTTTTTACATCAGCTTGTTGAGGTATAATTTGCATACAATAAAATGCATTGTGTACACCTTATAACCGGAATGTTTCCATCTTCCTAAAAGGCCCTGTGCCCTTTCCCGGGTATCCCAGCACCTTTCAGCTGTTCCGCCCTCAGGTCCGGCTCAGGGCTCTGGGCTCTGGGGATGCGGCCCTGGCCAGTCTTTGCTGTTGTGCTCTCCCTCAGCACTGCTGTGGGTCCCCCCATTACTGAGTGTAGTTCATTCGTTCTTACTGCTGAGTAACATCGTGCCGTGTAAAGCGTGTGTCAGGGCCAGCCTGGTGTGCATCGGGTCTGGCACACTTAGGACAGAGCCCATCTGATCCCTCGTGGAGACTTGTTTACATTTGAGGTGCCCATCCTGCCATGTTTCCTTGACAGTGTGTGTCTGCAGGTTAGAAAATGCTTTGAGAAACTTTGCCTGTCTGACCACCGGAGATGTGATTGCCATTAACTACAACGAGAAGGTGAGTGTCTCAGCTGTGGGACCAGCTCAGTGCGGGACACCTGCAGTGTCCGTTCTGGTGTTCGAATGGGGGTTCTTTTTAAGCTGAGTATGCCTGGCTTTTATCAGTTGATGACTGCCTACTGTTTGCATTTTAAAATTTTTGTGGGTTCATACTTAGTACAAAGCCCTGTACTAAATCATTCAGCAACTCTGCTGTGAGAATTGGTTGATTGTCAGTCATGTCCGTGCACCATGACGGTGAGGCTGCTGATCTGCCTCCATTAGAAAGGTCTTCACTGGGTATATAACCAGCTAAGCCCTTTGCTAGGCTGTGTTCTGGGAACACAGAAGTGAACCTGCCTGGGTTCTTGTCCTTGGAATTTGCTTCCTTAGAAACAGACAGGCGCTGCACTGCACTTGGAATGAGGTGGGGCACTCTGGACACAGGGCCTGGCTTTGCCTGAGGACACCTGGGGTTACCTCTCCTCATGGGAGCCCACGTCCTCTTCCTCCTGTTTTCTTTAGCTTTGCTTTTCCCTTGTCAGCTCCTTTGGGCTTGAGCCTCTTGACACAATCTTTCCTGTCTGAGCGCCACTTACATTCATCCATGATTCCATGCTTCATAGGTGTCTAGATGTAGACATTATAGGTGTAAAGTGAAATGCCATCTCTCATCCTCCATTTCCCATTCATTTCATGTGTAACTGACACAGAATTCAGGATGGCATCTACCTCCCTGTTGCCCATGGCAACACGTTTGAGAGGAGATATGACAGTGGGTGGACCTGCCCCTTGGGCCACAGGCTTGGAGTGCAGCAGTGAGGGTGCCCTGGGGCGATGGGCCCTCCCAACTGCTGCCAGGGTGGACCTCCTGGTGTGTAGGAGTGACCACAGACCCGGTCTGGCTTCCCCTGCTGCCTCTTTTGGCTCCCTTACACTCCTGTCCCCTTGGGGGCTGTGGCCTCACAGCCGGGAGGAGGAGCCTACGGGGCGGCCAGCGCCTCCCCCAGGGTCAGGAGGCCAGCGCTCCTCGGGTCACTCTGGGAACCCAGTGTGTCCTCTGACACATTCCTTCTTGCTGAGCTGCCTCTTACTGAGGAGCCTAACTTTTCAATATTGGGGGTTTGTATTTTTTCATAAACTAAGCTTTGTTTCCTTTAGCTTTGTGGGGACATTGTAGATGTTGCCTATCTTAACTGAATACTTGAAGCTCTCATAATTAATTATAGGCAGCCTTGATGTTTTTGTTCTTAAAGTAGTAAGTAATGCTGACAACCTCAACTGGTGAGAAAAGGTAATATTGAAGTTTCTGCACTGACAGGGAAGGTGAGTTACATAGAATATGTGTGGAAGTGAAATGCATGTTTGGACTTCCACTTTTGGAAAGGTGGAAGACTAGATACTCTGAAGGGTCCTTCTGAGAAACACAGTTAAATCAGGATAAAATCTAGGTTATTAATGCATTGTGGCTTACAAAAGACAAGAAGTTTTTAAGAATCTTTCAGCCGGGGCTTCCTGAGCAAACGGCCATGTCAGTGCTGTGGTGGGAGCTGAATCAGAGGCTTCCTCATTAAACTGAGGCCTGAACGGGACTAATAAAGACCCAGGGACAGGTGTCGTCCTCATCCCGGGAGAGGAAACCCGAATTCCCCATGGGAAGATCACTCCCAGTTTAGTTAGGGATTGCTGTTGGCTGAGCAAACAGTAACTAAGAAGAACCACCAGATACCCAGAAGAAGACGAGCAGATTAGACCCTCCCAGGGATCAGTATTGGGATTTTCAGGTGCAGATATGAAATAATGATTCATAAAATGTTGAAAAAGTTTTAAAAAAATGTAATCATAAAATGCACCTTCAACAGAAGACTGTCAGAAATAACCAGGAAGATCTGAAAAACAGTCACAGTTAGACAACAGTTGACAATTACCAAAATGAAAAGTTCAATCTGGAGAAATGACTTAGAATTCTGCACAGAGAAGCCAGGCAGTGAGCAAGAGAGGGAGGCGGTGGGGATACCGAGGAAGCCGGACACACTCCGTGAGATCCCAGCGGGGCAACGGGTGAGCAGTGAGGTGGTGAAGCATTAGTAAGTGAGACGTTCGAGAATGGGCCCTCAACCCGTAGTTAGAGGAAGCACGACACATCGGACATGAGAGGTTACAGACACCAAATACCAGGCACACAGAGGTCAGGAGAGAGAAAAGACGCTACTGATGGAAAAGTGGCAAATAGTGGGGCCTCTGAGTAGCAGCCATTGTAGCAGAAAAGAGCAGACCGCCTTCAGAGGCTGAGAGAAGGTAACTGTCGCCACAACCATCCTTAAGGAGGGAAGGCAGATCGCAGTATTTTCAGACCACCATACCCAGGAGAGTTTATTACCAGTGGAACTTCAAAAACATGAGCTTCAGGACCACACATTTCTGAGAAGGAAAGACAGGGTTGCCAGAAGGAATGGCGACCAAATACACTGGAAGTGGCAGTAAGTCTTGGAGGCGCCTGCAGTGTGAAGCAGAGTGACGCACGCCGCGAGAGGCCCAGAGAGGACACCTGAAATCCTGGAGCAAGTCCAGAGAGCCGTTTATGATTCAAGTGTTCTCTATTTACAATTCAATAATATTAAGCCCATAAAAATAACTGAAAGCTCTACTTATCTGTTGGATGTTTACAAACAGTTTAAATTAGTTTTACATAGTGTGATGACACAAAACACGAAATGTCATATAAGTGTTTATGTGTACCACATGTTTATCATAGTATTTTTATTATACTGTCTTGCTGTTTTTTTCTTTTCTAGTTCTAGTTTTGCCCCACTGTTAGTTTTATAACCCACTAATTAGCCGTACCTTGCAGTTTGAAAACTACTATCGAGAAACCCAAACATGTTTCCCTGGAGCCACGCATAGGAATCTCATAGCAGCGTTGTTAGTGATAGCAGAGCTGCTGGGGCAGCCCAGGGGATGATGGGAGAAATGATGGCGCATCTGTACAGTGACATCAGGCAGGGAAAGTCGGGCAGTTGGGGGCTCAGGTAGGCCAGTGCCCCGTGAGGGTGTTGTGCAGCCCCTGGGACTGTTAGGAATGAAGAAAGCTGTAAAAACAGACTGGGCACATTGAGCCTACTCACTTTACTTTGGTGTCCCTCCCACTCACATTCAGGGTTTTCTTAATGGTGGGACTCTTTGGACTATTCAGTATAAAAGCAAGACATACTCTAGGCAAAAATGAAGCCTGAAATGCTGCAGGAAAAGGTAGATCCCACCACTTTTAGTTCCTGTTCTTCATGCTTATGTATGTGTTTTACATACATGAGATCCACCTTGACACACAGCAACATAACTGGTTTTTAATGTCTTATTTGCCGAATAGTATTCCACTGGTGATGGTTGTTTATATATGAATATTGATTTAACTGATCTGTGGATAGGCATTTGGGGGTATACACTATTATTAGCAGTGTTGGAGTGAACATTCTCAGTTTTCTCTTTGGGTATTTAGTTATTTACTTATAATAAATTCCTATAAGTGAACTTTCTGGGATTAAGGTTGTGAGTATTGTTTGCAATTTGAAGCATACCTACCTTGTCTGATTTGAACCACTTAGAACAGTCTGTGCTGAGTGAAGAACAGGCGTCAAAGAGGCCCAGCCCACAGCTCCACTGTTGCAGCAGGTGGTGTGGGTGGGCAAGGGTGTGGTGGCGAGTGATGGGTCTGCAGCAGCCAAGTTGGGAGCTGTGGTGACGTGAATGGGGACAGCCCCAGTGCTGCCGTGAAGCCGGCCAATCGATGTCTGTGTTCTCCCCACAGATCTATGAACTGCGGGTGATGGAAACCAAGCCTGACAAGGCCGTGTCCATCATTGAATGTGACATGAACGTGAGTGGCTTTGTTGCTTGCAGTGTGTTCAGGCAGGGAAAGATGGGCAGTTGGTGGCTCAGGTAGGCCAACGCCCCATGAGGTTGTTGTGCAGCCCCTGGGACTGTTAGGTGAGAGGGGAAAATGAGGCCAGAACATCTGGGGCCTGCTGGCTATGTGATCTGTCTCAGGGCAAGTGGTCGTGGCAGAGTGGATGCCAGTTCTAGGACTGCTGTATCTGCCAGCATGTCAGACCTGCCGAGGAGGGGATGTTCTCAGATGCTAAGTAAGTGTGCTCAGCTTCTGAGTGAGAAGGACCTCCGAGTGCCCACAGCAGCCTAGGGGATCTCCAGGGAGTGACACCAAGAGAAAAGGCCAATCCCAGAAGGTTACATTCTGTCTGGTTCCATTTATATAGAATTCTTGGAATTGGCAAGACTTTGGAAATGGAGGACAGAGCAGGGGTTGCCCGGAGGCGGGGATGCAGAAGACCAGGAGAGAGGCGAGTGTGGCCGTAAAAGGATAACAGATGTTGGAGCCAATCAGTACCTCAGGGTGGGTGCACTGACCTTCACTCGTAATAGAACTGAGGGTTTGACATAACAGAAGCAAGTGTAAAGCCGAGAAATGTGAACAGGACGGTTGGATCATACTAAAAGGGCAATACTGTCATTCTGTGAGATGTCACCGTTGGGAGACCTGGCAGAGTATACACAGGCTCTCTGTGCTGCTTTAAACCATGTGGAAACCTACAGTTGTCTCAATTCAGAACCGAAAAGCGAAGGAAACCTAAGTGCCCCCAGGTCTCAGAATGGTATTTTTCGTCTTGGGAGCGCAGGTGGACTTTGATGCTCCTCTGGGTTACAAAGAGCCGGAGAGACAAGTCCAGCACGAGGAGTCCAGCGTGAGTCGTCGCCCAGCGCTGCCCCCTGCCCCGCATGGTCTGCCCTTTCCTCGAGGGGAGGGAGTGTCCTCGGTGTGCGCTGACAGCTGGCCCGTGAGTGGCCGCTGTGGGGGCCACATGGCCACAGTCCCTGCTTCTGTTCCAGCCCTGCTCCCAGGGACGGTGTGTCCCAGCTCTTGGGGTGTGGGGACATTAGTGACAATGAGAGGCACAAGAGAGGAGCTAGGGTGTCCCTGCTGAGAAGCTCATTTCCCATTTTTTTTCTCCCCACCCCCTCATCAGGAAAGTGAAGCTGACCACAGTGGCTATGCCGGAGAGCTGGGCTTCCGTGTGAGTACCAGGCCCCACATCTTACTTCCGTGTTCCTGCCCTGTCCAGCCTCACGGCAGCCCAGGGGCTTCAGCAGGGATTGGGTCTCTTGTGTCCATACACACACGTCTCTGGCCCTTTCTCAGTACATGGCACTTGTCACACTCCTGGAAACCTAACTCTGTGAGGCAGTCTAATGTATTCATCTTTTTAAGAATTTCCGACCTAGCAGAAAGCCAGAATAGTATAACACACACACGTCCTTCATTTAGACTCACCAGCGTAACCACATTTGCTTTATCTCTAAGAGCGTGTTCTCTTTTCTTTGGCCTGTGCTGTTGGAAAGTAAGTTGCAACATGATTTTCCAGCCAGGCTCTCTGGGAACGGGTGGAGATGGCTAGTGTGTGGGCACTGGGGTGCTGGGGGTGGGTGGAGGAGGCAGGACAGGAAGGCTGACCAGTTGCCACAGAGGCCTTGGCCCTTCCACAAGGCCCTGTGCTGGGTGGCCCTACAGAGGCCAGGGCCAGACCTTCTACCCTGTCGCTGCGGCTGCCCATTGCGGGGAGGGAGAGGGGGGTGCGTGGCTGTCCTTGGAGTAGGGGGCTGCTTTCAGCTCACAGCAGTCCCGTGAGGGCTGGGCAGTGTGTGGCTGTCCACACCGCAGCAGCTGGCAGTGAGGGCTTCCGGCCGCAGGGGTCTCTGGCTCCTGACCTGGTGCACGCACTCTCCTGCCTGCCCGTCTAGGCCTTCTCCGGCTCTGGGAATAGACTGGATGGGAAGAAGAAAGGTGTAGAGCCCAGCCCTTCCCCCATCAAACCTGGAGACATTAAAAGGTGGGTCTGCCCTCGCCATGCTTCTGCCCATGCCTAGTCCCCCTTCAGGGAGTCTGCACCAGAGTCCTGGGGTGTGGGGGTGGCCTCCCTGGAGCTGTGGGGACAAAGCCCAGATCAGGGAGGCTGGTGGGGTAGATGAATGGCCCCCTGCCTTCCTTTTTGGCAGGAGTCTCACGGGGGTCATTGTTTTCCAGGGGACACGTGTCCATGCCTTTCCCCTCCATTCACCAATCCTCTCCCCAGGACCACTTCAGGTTAGCCTCCACCTGTCCCCAAGTGGCACCTGATCAGCTCTCCTATGTGGAACCTTTCTGGTTCCTGTTGAGTAATGTGCCCACTTGCTGTTTTATGATTTCAAGTAATTGATTAAGTCATGTGATTTCAACCTCCTTCCAACAGGAGACAGGAGCTGCTATGCTTACATGTTTCTGTTGTTGGTCCAGGGACCTCAGAGCAGATCCCTTGCTCTGGTGGCTGTCATGGAGGTGGCAGGAATGAGATGTGTCTCCAGTCTGCTGAGTGTGTTAGAGTAGGGGAATGCTGGAGGTGGGGTTCGCCCAGTCTCCTGAGGAGGGCAGTGAGTGTAGTAGCCCTCCCGGGTCTGCGAGGCTGGCAGGCTGGCTGCCAGGAGAGCCCTCACCGCAGGCCAGGCCCTGCATCTGCCCGCCCCTCCCAGCTGCCTTCTGGTTTCCTCCAGGAGGGATGCTGGGAGCACTAGAGGGCTGGCCCAAGGTCAGGGTGGGGTGCAGCAATGTATGCATAGTGGGAGTCTCCAAGAGGACCCTTGGCTGTCCTGCTTGCCTCTCTCTGGATTATCAAAAATGAATTTTTATCTTTTCCTGGGACTAACATTTCTCCTCTATTTTCTTTACAGAGGAATTCCCAATTATGAATTTAAACTTGGTAAGATCACTTTCATCAGAAATTCACGTCCACTGGTCAAAAAGGTTGAAGAGGTGGGTTTTTTTAATTGGTAATGAGCAGTTTTATTTGCTAGTGATGACTGGTGAGGTCTCAGTGTTTCCATCATCTCTCTCCCATTCCTGGGGCCCTCCTCGCCCTGGGGGCCCGAGTGTCCTGTTGAGGTGGTGCAGGGTGTGCACTGGCCTGGTGCCACCTAGTGATGACAGTCACCAGGTAATGTGACTTGCTGGCTCTCAGAGCCCCTTCCGAGGGCCAGGCCCATGCTGAGTGCCTTACACTTCACCATCGGACCCGGGATGGTCCCACGAGGCAGCTGTTGTCATTGCGTCTTTACAGACACATGGAGCCAGGGCACCGAGAGCCCAGGGGCAGAGCTCCTGATCATGGCATGCCCACCTGTGTGCCACCACACTCCAGAGTGGCCTCTGCTGAGACCTGAGGAGAGTGGCACCCCGAGGAGTTCCCTGCGGCAGGAGGGGAAAGCTGCAGGCGGGGCAGGACGGGTTGGCAAAGAGGGGCTTCTGCCTGGCGGGTGCTGGAAAGTGTCTCAGCGTACTCCACTGTTCCCTCGTGGGACCGTCTGGGGTCCCATGGTGAAGTATAAGGCACTCAGCATGGTGCCTGCGGGTGGCAGAGGCTCTCAGAGCCCGGGTGTCAGATTACCTAAGATGTACCACTTTCCTGATTCCTTTCCTCAAGGCTGCGCCTCTTGGGGACCTCCGGTAGAAGTGCCATGAGCCGCTTGGGAAGGGCCTATGGATGACGTCCGTCCCCAGCTGGGGCCGCAGGGCTATCCCCAGACCCTCCTGACGCCTGAATCCTTCCCCTCTACCTTGGGGTGGTTGGGTATAGAGACCACTGAGCTGTCTACACACCCCGTGCCCCCCAACAGCCCCTCCTAACTTAATGTTCCTTAAACTGACACGGTGTTGGGGAAGTCCCAGGTACGGAGGAACAGGTGTGGGCCCCAGGCAGACCTCACCCTCCAACTTTCTGAGGCCCCTCCTAGGCCTTTGCCAGCTATGGGCCAGGCCACGGCTTGCTCAGTGACCTCTGCAGGGTATGCCCTCCAGGCTGACTTGTCACCTGACTGCCGGAGACACTGGGGAGGGAGGGGGAGGCTGGCGCTCCAGCTGGGCTGTTTTATCTGGAAGTATTCAGGGGGGAAGGTGATGGAGACGGGACTGAGTAGAGCATGTGTGTAGCTCTGCTCCATCCTGAAAGCCCACTAAGCTGTGGGTCAAGGTAAGAAGGTAGTAAACACAGTGAGAGGAGCGAAGGCGACTGCAGCAGTGGCGGGAAGCTCCAGAGCAGCTTGGCAGCGGCGTGCTGAGCCGGCTGTGGGGAAAGCCAAGCGGCAGCCTCGTTTAGAAAGTAGAGCTCTGAAGGGCACCTCTGGGAATAGGGGGTAAAGAAGAGATGTCTGCCGCTGCCACAAAGCAGTGAGCACTACACTGCCTCCCCTCACCCACTGGGGTTGTACCTCCCTGATGCAAGCAGGCTGGAGGCTTGTCTTCTGGAAAAGGATGTAGCAGGGCCCTAGGCTCGGACCATCAGCCCAGTGGATGGAAGGACCAGACTAAAAGAGGAGTGACAGTTTGCCACCCTTGGTGTCCCCAGCTGCTTGGCTTCCAGACCCTGGAAGGCAGGCTCTCTCCTTGAAGTCCGAGGGACGTTCTCTGGACAGTCTGATGAGGCCTGAGGATTGTCCCAGCCAGCTCGCCCCAGGGCCGAGACTGCAGTTGGGAAGTTTCCAGTGCCAACATCCAAATCCTAGGGGTTATGAAAGAGATGAGAGAAACCAGAGGGCAGAACTCATCAGGGAACTCATTTCCCCAAACTGAAGGGCGCGCATTCGCAGATCAGAAGGCTCACTGAGCGCCTCGCCCGGTGAATACAAATAGCCCGAAGTCGGAGCCCAGAAAGGATCCTCAGAGTTCCCAGAAGGAGGGAACTAATGCCACAGATCAAGAATGGCACAGGAGGGCCATTCTGATGCAGGCCCTAGTCTCAAGGGGCTTCATAGGGCACCGGAAGCTAGGAGACAGTGGAGCAGCATCCTTAACATCTGAGAGGAAACTATCTCAGAAATTCTGTACCCAACTCTTACAGGATAAATCATACGCTCCCAAATTTCAGTGTTGAAGCCTTTTACCCTTAGCACCTCAGAATGTGACTATTTTTGGAGATACGGCCTTATAGCGGTGATTCCGTTTAAGTGAGGCTGTCAGGGTACCCCTAGTCCAGTCTGGCTGGTGCCCTGACAGGAAGAGGAGAGCTGGACACACAGGGGTGGCCACGGGAACACAGTGAGAAGACACCTGTCTGCATGTCGAGAAGAGAGACCTCAGAAGAAACCAGAATTGATGGCACCTTGATCTTGGAACGCTAGCTTCCAGAAGAGTGAGAAGATGAATTTCTGTTGTGTGAGCCCCTCAGTCTGTGGTGCTTTGTTGCTATAGCCCCATCAGTTCAACACGATCCAACCTGCCAGGGAATCATGTAGAAGTAGATAAAGATACTTTCAGACACATAGGAATTCACAAAAAGGCATTCATCATGCACCCTTTCTCAGGAAGTTCCCCACTAAAATGAAGGAAAAAGGTAAAAATCAGGAAGTGCAGCCGCACAGCCAGGTGCAGCGCTGGGGGGATGCCCAGTACAGGCAGGGCAGCTGGGAGACACCTTCACACTGACAGGTCTGGTGGGACACCTGCTGTCATTGAGTCTGGGCGGTGGAGAGACGCCAGACAGTTACAGGCAGCAGGACAGACGGTAGGCTCTGCGGGAAAGGAAGGCTGAATGGGTCAGCCCGCGGGAGGTGCCTTTACACAGATGCCACCATGGAGACTCTACATAGGCCTTGTGGGAGGTACCCCAGCTGCCTTAGGTGAGAGTTGGGGAGTGTGAAGTCGTCGTAGGTAAGCCTCCAACTGATGAGCGGTACAGGCCCATTTTTCATGGTGTTTTCAAGGATTCAGGACAAACAAGCCCTCTTTTGCTGGTGGGAGCATAGCGGGATAGAATGTTTCTGAGGGTTGGTCAGTGGTCATAGATTAAACGCCTTCAAATATGTACAGTCATTTTATCAAGGAATCCACTTTAAGGAAAAAGAGCTGTGTGCAGACACATGAAGCTGCTCACCACAGCGATTTAAAATGCTGCACATAGGAAAGTGACACCCAGCGGTGGGGGGCCACCCCTGCCATGGGCTGGAATCTCTGTAGCCTGCAGAGTGCACAGGCGAGTCCATTGGCGAGAGACTTAAGTATGAAAGTAGTTTATATAAACATACAGAAAAGTAGCTGGGAATGTTAATTTTGGGTGGTGTAGTTAGGTGACTTTTCTCTTGGGGGCGTATTTTATATTTTTTACTTGAAAATGTGATGCTTATGCAAAAGGATATACATTCAACCTGAGAATAAAGGCTGTGGTAGAGGCATAGCTGTGATTGTGTGGTTTTGTTTCTCAAATCAATAGATGATGTTTGATGGTTTGTATGTATATTTCAAAGACATTTCTTATTATAAATAATGTGGAAATGAGGAAAATGGGTAGATGGCATGTGAGTCAACAGAATGAAGGCTTTATTCTAAACCCCCAAGGAGTTTCTGAAAACAGTATTTTATTTTCACACGTAGGATGAAGCTGGAGGCAGATTCGTTGCTTTCTCTGGAGAAGGACAGTCATTGCGTAAAAAAGGAAGAAAGCCTTGAGTCGGGACTGTTGGCTGATGGGAGAATAAAATACTTGCAACATGATGGCTTTTAGTTATTTGCTCTGAGGGGGATGAGGCTATCTCAGAGGTGCCCTGTCACGTAAGGTTTGTTTACAGTTACCTAAGAATTACTGAGTCTGACCTGGAAGTGGAACAGCAGGACTTCAAGGTTAATTTGGGGAAAAAGAAAGCTGTTTCAGGTCCAGCAGGCAGCCGCCTCCTCACTTTCTGCCCTCAGGGGTGCTCTCACTGCCCCAGCCAAAGCAGAGTTCCCCAATTCCTGATAAAAAGCAATAGAGGGAATTGAATTACAATAACCTGAGGTGTTTTTCTCTTTTTACATTTATTCTTTTTCCAGGTCACTAGCTTAGAAGTTGCCTTTAGAAAAAAGTGATTTAAATAGAGATGTACTCTGTAAATAGTGGTTATCCCATTACTCTGGCTGCAATTTAAGTATGTGAGGAAGAATGTTTCTATTTTAATTTTACATACTGACTTTTTTTAAAAGAAGGAAAACCTGATTAGAATGTGTTTCCACTTTTATTTTGATTTCATACAGGAATAACTGGCTCTTTAATGAATCTGTTCTACAGTAAAACAACTTCATAGTGAAACACAGATGTGAATATTGGAATAAATATTAAAAATGCATTCTTCTTTTTCCTTCCCTACCACCCCCCCAATTCCAGTTTTAATGTATCAGATCATCGAAGGTTCTGCTGGCCTAGTTTTTATTAGCATTCACTTGATCTCAGATCTTCACTTTCTGCAGTGTGAGATCTTTTGACAGGTTAATCCAATTATTTTAGTCTCTTGTTTGTTTAAACGTGATTTTAAGTCAAGAATCTCAAATAAAAATGGGCAGTGACTAAAACCTGCTTGCCTGTGTCTGATTAGGCACCAGCATAGACTGGTGGTTGGGCCACCAAGCCAGGAGTAGGAGGAAGGCCTGCTTAAAGGTGCCCCCTTTTCCATCCTGCCATTAGAAAAGGGCTGCTCTGGGGGCTTCTGGGAAATGTTGGGAGAAGTGAGACTCTCTGCTCCCTGGGTTGGGGATGGTCAGGCTGACTAGCATCTTCTCTTATACCAGGACTCCCGCTTATAGGCAGAGGGGTCCAACTCCGGACAGGGCCCCTCTAGGACAGAAGCCCTGAGGTCCACCCATGTGTCCTCAGAGAGCATAGATGACCCCAGTGATCAGGGCTAGGCCCTGTGGCCCAAACTGTCATCACTGGTAATGGACATGGTTTTGGAAGGCATAGAACACTGCTGACTTAACCAATCCTCCACTTCAGGGTCTCAGTTTCACTAGCTGAGGTAGAAGTCCTCCCTGGTGTGTAGACAGCCTTTATTTGCAGGATCACATTGGCTAACACATTGTCATTTTATGCATAAAGTTACAGTAAGGTGCTGGCCCTGGGTTTTTGTTTTCCCTAAGCAATACTTACTGTGTACACGGTGAAACCACTACTGGTCCTTTGCAGAAGCCACACTTCCCTGTCCAGGCCACGGGTGGACCCTATTGTTGGGTCTTCTGATGACAGCAGAGTCACCTGAAGCAAAAGTCCTCATTGCTGCAGCATTAGCATCCTCTCCAAGCTTGGGTCTGTGAGCCAGTTTGGCAGGATCCCTGGTAAAACTGCAGCTCTCTGGTCCATCTCCAGAGAGTAGGACCCATTCTCCTTCCTGGGGTGCACTGGGCAGCCATGTTCAAAGGGGTTCTCAGCAGATGACTGGCTTTGCACAAGTTGCAGAACCATTGCATGGGTATTGCAGGGCTTTTCAGGTCCGTCCACCAGACTGCTTTGCTTTTCTTGCCTCTTGGGTAACTCTCCTGTCTATAAACATTCCACATGTTGCCATGCTTCAGAGTAGAGCCTTCGCTTCTCAGGCCTCCGCCCCGTGCCACACAACCTCCAAGGCCTTTGTCTAGCTTGCCACTGTGCTGGGAAGGCCCTCCTCCTGCTTCCATTGCAGCCTGGTTTTCCTTGGGGGGTTATCCTGTGCTCTAGACACCCCAACTCTCAACACCATCAGACCCAGCCAACCCCGGTTATTTCGTGAGTTCACCACCCTCGAGGGCACGCTCGGGCGAGACCACTGTGACCACAGACGTGGCAGCCTCCCCGCACGGAGTCGATGCTCAGTACGTGCTTATGAAAATGAACTTCATCTTTAATATTTACGAAAATAAAAGCTGCTGAAAAGACATGAGCTGAATCACGTGGTTTCAGAAATAGCTAACTTGAGGTGGCTGTGCAGTCCGGGGCTCCCGGCGGGTCCTGGGCTTGTGGCCGCAGCCCACCCGGCTTTCGGATCCGTCGGGCACGTCCCGTGTCCCGCGCCTCGGGCCTCGGGTCCCGCCCCTGCGCGCGCGCCCGCGCGCGCCACCGCCCCCTGCTGCTATTGGCTGCCCAGTCCCGACCTGTTGGCATGTGTCAAGGAGAGGGGCGAGGAGTTTAATCAGCATTTAGAGATCATTTGTTCGTCCACCCGTCAATCATGCGATGCCAGCTTTCTTCAGTGTTCATTGGCTAGCTGGCTCGGGAAGCGGGGTTTGGCCGTCGCCAGGACATGGCTGACGGGGGCGGCTGGCGGGTAAGTGTCCTGGCTGCCCAGGACCCTGGCTGCCCAGGACCTGCGGGGTCTCGTCGTGCCGGGCGACCGGATAAACCGAGCCCTCTCCCGTGGATGGGGCGAGATGGGCCGGGGCGGGCCGGGCGGCGGCAGACCCCGGCTCAGGCGTCCTTCTCGCCGCAGCCGCCGCGCCCCTGCGAGGCCTACAGCGCCGAGTGGAAGCTCTGCCGCAGCGCCGGGCACTTCCTGCACCACTACTACGTCCACGGCGAGCGGCCGGCGTGCGAGCAGTGGCGGCGCGACCTGGCCAGCTGCCGCGAGTGGGAGGAGCGCCGGAGCGCCGAGGCCCAGGTGCGCCCGGGAGGCCGGGAGGCGGGGGCGCTGCGCCGCCGGGTGCATGGCCGGGGCGTCCGAGTGCGCGGGCCAGGCCCTCCCACGTTCCAGGCCCCGGGACTCGAGAGGAGCACTGCCGGGGCCCTTCATCTTTTCGTGCTTCCTTTCGAGAAATACCAAAAGTTAGTGTGTCAACGGGGCGTTCAGACAGCGAAGGCCAAAGCAAGAGGAGCGTAGCGTGGTTCGGAGCCGTCGGAGGGCCCCTGACAGCGCTTGGGCCATCAGGTGGCCTGCAGGGGAGAGGGTACTGCTGAGTCCTGAAGGACCAGGAGCGCAGCCTCAGCAGCTTTCAGCCAGCCCCGGGGGAACACAGCGGAGAAACAGAAGTCCAGGTCCTTGAAAGAGGAGCGTGGGCTGTAGAAGGGCAGGGGATGAAGCTGGAGACCATGGCGGACCTGATGGGTCTTTAAAAAGGGTTTAGATTCTAGCCTAAACGTGTGCTCGGCAGCATGGTTTGATTCACATCTTTAACAGGTAAGTCTGGCTGCCAGGGTGGGAGAGTATATTATGGAGGGGCAGGGAGACCTAGGAGTGGTTCTAGGCCGTTCATTCAGCAGACGCTTTACATGTTGGGCACTCTTGGGGATACAGGAGTGATGAGAACAGAACCTAGGCACCTCCATTCTAGTGTAGAATAGGCAGTGGTACTTTGGAGCCATTGTGGGTGCGGAGATGGAGAGAAACTGAGAGTGCCCCACAGCGGTGCCAGGGAAGGGGAGCCAGCAGGACTGGCAGCTGCATCAAGGCTGCTAAATGTGTGTGATTATTGAAACACACAAACATGTGAAACCAAGCTGCTGTATAAAAGAGAACGATGACAAATCTGCAAGATGTAGTCCAAAACATGGGAAAGATAGCTTGCAGCCTAAATAGCAGGAGATTAATAACCTTATATATATAAATAAAAAGAGCTCTTCTATAAAAGAAACATGGGGATGATTTCTGAATAAGAAGGTGGGCAAGGAGCATGAGGAAGGAATTCATTCAAAAAGAAAACCGAATGGTGTTGTATACAAGTTAAAAGAGCCGTAAGTGGTTTCTGCCCAGTGGAATGTCGAGAAATGTCTAAGGGGTTTGAGAGTCAGGTGTTTTGATTTCTAGATGTCAGATGCATACCTCACAGTTTTACTTCTGGAAGTTTACCCTAGGGAAGTAATTGGGGAATAGTGCACATTTAAAAGTTCAAAATGTCCCTTGTGTCAGTGTCATCGTGCAAAAACTGACAGCATCCCAAATTCTGCTAATAGACATTTGACCAAATAAGTTCTTCTACAAAGTTGGGTACTACACAGCTATTAAAAATAAAAGATAGTAATCTCTCTGGGCATGGAAAGGAGCCTACGGTGTGCTGCTTGGTGAAAAGGCAGGAAGAACACTAGCCAATGGAAGGTTATTCCCTCTTCAGGGGAACACGTGATGGCATTAAAATTGTGTTGGGGAAGCTGTTAACTTCTCAGGGATGGAGGACTGAGAATGTTTGCAGTTTTGATTACTCTTTTAAACAAAAACAAAAACATGCTATTTGAGAAAACAGAGCATGAATGCAGACAGATAAGTAGACAGATGAGGAATGTGAAATTATCTGTATGATGCACCTACCAAGTGCCCTTCTCGTGGTGTCTTGCCCTGTGTTCATTTTTTGGGGAGAGGGGCAGAGAGAAGCTGGTGGGTTGAGTGGCACCTGCTATCATTTGTACTCGTCCTCAACCATCCAGGACCCCTTGGCATGTGTCTCTTGCCCCATGTTCCTCCTCTGGCCACTCTTTCAGACTCTTGTCTCTCTTCCCAGCTCAGCCCCAGCCTGGGCTTAGCAGGTGAATTTGATTAGGTCAACTGAAGGCATCAAAACATTAAAAATTTTTAATTTTCCTCGAATTATGGTGATCTACACAGTTTTCACAACAGCTTAGTAGAAAGAATGATCTAGATCTGTTTGCTAATGTGGAACAATTGCCCCTGTTTGTTAGGTAGAAGCAGCCAGTGTGGAGTAGTGCACACTCCCCTGTCCATCCGGGAGGCCTGGGGAGGTTGATGAGGGGTAGGGAGGTCCAGAGGCCTGTGAGGGTGGAAGTGACGGGCATCTCCTTTGCACAGCGGTCCCTCTGTGAGAGCGAGCGTGCACGAGTCCAGGCTGCACAGAAGCACACGCTGGTGTGGGTCCCGAGGCAGAGGCCACCTGCAGACTGGCACCTCCCCCTGCCACAGCAGGAGAAAGACTGAGCCCTTCACTTTCCTCCAGTCTGTTTCGAGTGGGGCTGCACGTGACTCAAAGGACTGTGTGCAGCTTGGGCAGTCTGGTGGTCCCTGGGAGCTTCCACCTGCCGTGGAACTCGGAGTTTGATGTCTCCAGCCCTGCTTGGCCACGCCTCACCTGTGCTCAGGGTGCCTTGCCACTACCATACATTCAAAGACAAGTCCGCCCGCTGCGCAGCTTCAGGAAGTCCAGCTCTGCAGCAGGTATGCCTGCGGGCAGCCAGGCCAGGCTGCTCACGCTCCTTGCTGGGAACAGTGGTGCAGGAGCGGCCTGCTCTGAGGTCTGGAATTCTCAGGTCAACTCTTAAGCGGTGTCCCTGACCTGTGTGGACATGTAGGGGGTCGGAATGAGGCAGCTGAATGGTCGGTTGTGCTGTGTGAACCCCTGTCCTGGCCCTGGCTTGGTGATGACCACGTATTACCGCCACTGGCGCTCACATGCGGCTCAGCCGACTCGCTCAGTTCTTCTGCAGGCACTCCACTGGACCAGCCCTGGAGACCCTGGTGTTTAAGAAGTGCCACAGCCACAGAACATACAGCTCTGCATTAAAAGAGTTCACGGACTCTTAGCTTAAGAAACCCAAGCCCAGGGCACATGAAATTATGATCTCCTTCCCTCAAAATTTCCCCTGGTAATTTTTAGAAAATGTGGAATATATCAAAAGCCATTTCACACATTTGATCCCAAGTAAAATAAAAAAGTTAGATCCACAGTTTAATTGTTGAAACTGTTAGATTTTATACCTGATGTCACTGTGCTTGAATAGCATTAGGATTTTGTATGCTTATACTCTTGTAGATAGATGTTTTTAAAAGATATGTATATGAATGAGCAAGAACTCTTACGTCTCGAAGAGGTCTCCGTTACTAATGAAAATGATTCAGCGCCTTGTGGCTGCGTAGCAAGCCCCGCGCGTGGTGCCGAGGGGCAGGGCGGCGGCAGGCCGTGCCCTCACCGCTCTTCCTGGCTGTCCCAGGCCCACTGTGTCTTAGCACCTCCCTAATGCTGGGCCCCGACTTGGCCATGGGGCCTGCTGGGTCAGACATCTTTTAATACATTTTTGGAGCAAAATAACCCATCTCTTCAGAAGAGTACACATTAAAGAAGAAAACCTCTCTTCTTGAGTGTTTTCTCCTGTGTGCCCCAAGAGTCTCTATGTGTGTGCCTGTGAGGGGTGGGAGTGCACAGGACCCCAGGAGCAAAGGTGAGTATAACAAAGAGCAGCAGTCCCCCATCCTGGCCAGGCCTTGGTGTGTCTTAAGCCAACCAAGGTAGCTACACTGCGGCTGTGGCTAGTTCCGTGAGTGCTTCTGACCAAGGGGGGGGAGAGGAGAGGCTGCCGCCATCTGCAGCATTCGCCTCCCTCTGAAACACAGGGAGACGTTTGAATTCTGTGATGCATGTGATGCCTGGAATTGCAGCAGCTCTTTTGGGATTCCTGGGGTGGGGCTGGGGGAGGGAAATCCTGGTAGTGGCAGCCGGCACAGCAGTCCTGAGTCCCCTCAGGAGCCATGCTCCCCGTCACCTACAGCTGAGTAATCTGTGAGCTACTGCATGAATTCCACAGCAGCGGATAGTCGTTGCTCTGGACAGAGCGTTCCTGTGTTTACACCTTCACAACAGCCGACTGCCCGCGACATGCCAGGCGCAGTTTGAGCCTCCGTGATCACAGTCTTGAAATGGACAAAATGCCTTCAGAGGGTTCCAGTTGAGTGTAGGGGACAGATGTACACATTTTAGCATCATTAAATAAAAGTCTACTCTGATGGTTAAATGCTGTGAAGAAAATGGACAGAGTGGTAAGATGGAGCAGCTTCCAAACTGCACAGAACCCACAGTGGCAGGTGTTTTGCTTCAGCTCTGGTACAAACTGTCACGTAAGCACCAACTGTTGAAACAAGCTTCACAGAACAGTCCTTATCTGTAGTGTGTGATATGCTGACATTTTCAGTCCTATGCCACTGAAAATAAACTCCATGCAGAAACATGGATGGAACTTCAGGAAGTTGTGCTGAGTGTTATACAATCTTAAAAGGATAGATACAGCGTGGCTCCATTTATGTAACACCAGTGAAATGATGTAGTTATAGAGATGGAGAACAGTTACTGGTGCCAAGGGTTAGGGATGGCAGGAAGCTGTGGGCGTGGCTGTAAAGGGGTACAGAGGGTGTCCAGCAGTGCTGGCACCTTTGGTGGTGGTGGTTACACAGGGCCACACGTGATGAAACTGCAGTGAGATGAGTGCAGACCTAACAGGAAATCTGAATTTCCTGAGGTCAGTTCCTGGGCAGTAAGTGTTTGGGCAGGAATACTTGAGGCTGAGGAAACCATTTGGCACCTCCCTGCATGTTCACTTCCAACCTCTAACTACAGAACAAAAAGCTGAAACTGAATTATACAACATCATGGATTAATCTGTTCCCAAAGCACTAGTATCAACTGTCTGCAATGGGCAGGGAGGTGCAGGAGGCCTCAGCATCTGAGCCCTGACCTGGCTGAGGGGGCGTGAGCCCTGCAGGGTGAGAAAGGACCACACAGGCTACCGAGAGCGAGACCCATGTGGTGGCAGGGTCCCGGAGGGGCTGTGAGCTGCCCTCGGGGGTGGGTGGCCAGAGGCCTGACTGACCTGGGTCTTACAGGTCCCTTGGTCTGCTGCAGGAGCTGGGCCGGGAGTGCCCAGCGTGGATACGTCAGCGGGAAAGCAGTGGGGCGGGACAGGGCTGGCCCTCCTTTTGTGTGCCGAGCTGGAGGGCTCGGGATCCTGAGGTAGCGCTTTTATCCAGTAAAAATGCTTATCTGGTAAGAGCTTTTAAATCAAAAGTGGACCACACATTAGGGAACTGGGCAATCTGAATTTGTTCAAATAAACTGTTTCCCTAGTTTATTTCCACTAAGGTAGTGAAGGGCCTAAGGCCCTCACTGGGGGAAACGGCTCTGTTCATCCACTGGACCTTCACTGTGAAGGGCTGATTGTGTGGGGTGTTGTCCCCCACCACCTAATACCTGTAGTTGAGCTCTAACCCCCTGTACCTGTGAATGTGATTGTATTTGGAGGTGGGGTGCTTGAATAATTACGTTAGAATGAGGTCATACGGTGAGTACTAACCCAATGACTGGTGTCCTTATTAGACGAGATCAGGACACAGACACACACACAGGGACGACCACGTGAAGACATGGATAGGCAGCATCTGCAGGCCAAGGGGAGGCCTCAGGACAAAGAATCCTGCCAACACCATGACCTGAGGCCTCCAGCCTACAGAACTGTGGAGTAGATTTCTGTTTAACACCCATCCGTGGTGTTTTGTTCCAGCAGCCCCAGCAAGCTGATACAATCCTCTGTACCCAAACTAATAGCTCTTGAAAAGACAGAGCCCGCTGCCCATCAGGCATCAGCTCCTCCTGGGGGCGCAGCAGCTCTGGTAAGTGGTGTGTTCCTGGCTTGCTCCGCTCTCCAGGCTCCCCACGTGAAGCCCAAAGCTGGCCCTGTCGGCGATGCGGGGAAGCACACACACTCCCTCTGCCCCGCGGGAGGGCCCCGCCTCTGCACACAGCGCCTGCCCATCCTGCACGCCCACTCCCCGGGGCCACTCTCCGCCTCCAGCTGGCGTCGTCTGCTCCGCACAGTGTGACCTTACTGCGGAGCAGCGGTCTACATCTTGGCTCTCCTCTCCCGAACACTGGCAAGAGCAGCATTTCTCACCCCCATCCATCCTCAAGTGAATTATTTTTTGACTCTAACATAAGGCAGACACTTGATAAAACATTTATTCACAGCTTGCCTGTGTGCTAAGCAGGCCTGAGACCTGGTGGGTCTGGCTCTCCAGGGCAGGGCATTCTGCACAGCTGCCTGCGGCATCCTCTACCTCTTGAACTCTACCTGTGCATACACCTTGGTGATGTCCTGGTACCTGCCTTCAGGCGGCTGGTAGTTGGAGACTGGTGGTGTGTAATCTGGCCCTTCCCTCTCAAAAGGGAAGAGACTGGGGTCCCGCTTGGTGGCCTCTGCGTGGAGCTCTGGGGACGTGAGTCGCAGCTCCTGCAGCGCTTCTTGCTGGGCCTCAAGCATGGACCTGGTGGCCTCCCTCTCCATCGCATGCTCCTGCTGCTTGTACAGGGACCACTTTTTCAGAAGCAGAGCTCTCCGCTCCTCCTCCTCAAAGGGGAGCTCCACTTGAGGCCGCTGCCTGGGAACACAAACCCAAAGGCGTGAGGACACCTGGGGAGCACCAGCCTCACCAGGCACGGAGTCCATGCGCCTGCACAGGACTCATGCGTCCCCACTCACACACAGGTGGGACCTCAAGGAAGTGGAAGTCTGCAACAATTAAGGAATGGGATGTTGAGTGCGGTGGCAGCTGCAGCTGAGGGCAGGAACCAGTGTCATCTGCTTTACGTGGAGACAAGAAACACTGATGTTCTGAGAAGACTGGTAGCACTTCCCTGCCCCGAGCAGCGACCACCTTTGGTGAGAAGTCAAATGGACTGTCTCAGCCCTGGAGCACCAAAAAAGCATCTGCTGGGTCCCATCTGTCTGGAAGGTGCAGCCTTATAAATGGTACCACTTTTTACAAGAAGGCAGCAGCCCTGCACACCACACATCCCAATGAAGAGCATTTGCATCCCAGGACAAGAGGTCAGGGGTTTCTCCCATCAGGATGGGCACAAGGGCTGCAGAGCCAAGGCCCCTGTCGTCAGCCACAGCTGAAACTCCTCTTCCAAAAGTGCAACACTGTGACCACTCCAGCACCTGGCCTGGCTTATCAACACTCGAAAGCACCACGGGGAATGACTTCTTCAACTTGTGCAAGGCCCAGGCAAGAAGAAAAGGACTCAGGCCAAGTCAGTCCAGGCCTACTTGCCCTTCCCATCACAGACACAAACTGCGGCCCTTCCCATCACAGACACAAACTGCGGACAACTATCTGAGGTGACAGAACTCCTCTGCCCCCGAGGACCCTTACCTTGCTTTATCCAGGAACCTCACAGGTGTAATAAAATCTTCAATGGGAATTAGCTCCTGGCTAGCCTTTTCCAGTCGTCGGATCCTCTTTTTCAAACGGTCCTTTACTGCTTGGTCTTTTTTTGGATCTAGCTTCTTCTTCTTTCGCTGGGGTTCTGCTCTAATGGAAAAAAACGAACATTCAGCATTTCCCTCTCTGGTCTCACGAACACAGTAAGACACAGTGCTGGGTGAACTGCTCCCAACTTGTACTGAGCTCTGCTGGGAAGGACTGCATGGGTCTGACCTCATGAGCTGAATGTGGCAGGGAGATAGCCTCCATCTCGGGGTGACAACTGTGTGGGCGATGTCAGCCCAGGAAGGACTGGAAAAGCTTCACGGGGCACCAGGATATAAATTAAGGGTAAGTGGCCAGCTTTCATGCTGGGGTTCAGGTGTGCCTTCAGATGGCATTGAAAAGTGTAAATATCAAACTGATAAATTAGAAGGTCATTACTCAACATTTTAAATGGATTTGTAATTTATAAAAATAAATGGAGTTAAGACTTAGAAAGTATAATAGTGACTGGTATGTATTTGCAACAACAAATTTTCCCATCCTACAGCACTCATAAAAGTCTGATTTATTCTCAGAAGCACATCTCCTATGGTGGTAATATACAATTAAGAATAAACAAATCCTCTGGCATCAAGATTGACTTTCAGCAGCCAAGGCCCTAGAAAGCACCCAGACTCCCAGATGGCAAATCTAATCCTCCCCCCTCCCCCCACACCTCCAAGAATTCAGAAATGGAAGGCCTTGGGAGAAACAAGTTGATGCTGTGCTCTTTAAAACACACAAGAATCCCTTCAAAGCTAATTTTTATTTAAACTATTTTTACATTAATTTTTGTTTCCGATTGCAGAGAGAGCAGTGTTCCATAGAAAACGCTGAAAAGAAACGCAACTGCCAAAATTAAGTGAGAAACTTCTTAGGCTATTAATTTTGCAACACAGACGTCGTCTTGCTTTGTTCTGTTCATGTGCACATCTACCGCTGACAGCCCCAAAGAGGTCAGGCCCAGGGCTATTTACCTCATGGGAATGAGGTCCCAGAAGGACAACAATGAACCTCGTTGGTGGGTGTCTCTAATCTGTGTCTGCCAAGTTCCCAGAAGCCTGCAAAAGACAAAGAATATATAAGTATCTGATTCCACCTACTAAAGAGGGAAAGACAAAAAAAATCACAATGCCCTCTGCTGGATATAACAGCAAGGTCAATGCTGGAGATTTTTGGGCAGAGTCCTTGCTCGCCGGGAGCGAGTTTCGGATTTTCATCCACAGGGCGGGGCGCGATCAGCTATTTCACTCCTGAGATACCCAAGGACAAGGGCGGCCGGGAAGGGAGCCAGAAAAGGCCAGGGGCTGCCAGCCAGGAGCACCCCCGCGCGCGCCCGGGGCACCCCGCAACCGAGCGGCGTCGGCACTCACCAGCTCTGCGGGCGCAGAGCGCGCGCGAACACCCCGAGCCCCGCGGCGGACATGGCCTCTCTGGCCGCCAATCCGCGGCTTCCGGGCGCGTTCCTCTTCGCGGTCCGGCCCGCTGTGTGCAGCGCAAAGGTCCGACAGTCCTGTCGCTCCGCACTCCCGCGTTCCGGGCACGGAGGGCTGGGCTGCGCCTGGCCCCGCCCCCGGCGTGCCCCGCCCTGCACGTCCCGGCGGCGCACGGGCACGCCCCGGGCGCCTCGCACCTCGCGCCGTGTGGGAGCCTTCCTTCCGCTTGGCCCGCCGCCGCCACCGTCGCCAGCTCTGCGCGGCAGTGGGCACAGCCCCGCTGGCCGCCGCCCTAGCTGGTTGGCCTTCGTACCTACAAGGGCCAAGATCCCGCAGTGCGGCCAGAGTAGCTGAGAGGGCGTCCCCCCCCAAGTGTCCACATCTCTGAAAACGACCCCGAGCCTCCGTAAACGCGCCTGCCTCGGCCTCCCCTCGGCCCTTCCGTGGCTGGCTCGTAGCTCTGCATTCGTTCGTGCCCGGGGCCGCAGCCGCCCCACGGTGGCTGCATCCCCGCGCCGGCACGTGGCCGGGCGCTCGCGAGATGCCCAATGAACGCGTGTTGATGAATGACGGAAGCTAGTTAGTCGGACTCCGAACCAGCGAGGTAGAGCTGGTGAGAGGCCGTTCACAGCACCGTCACCCCGCCCGGCTCTGCCAGCCCGGGCTGCAGCTCGAGGCCCCCGTTCGCCCGCCGCGGCCCCAGCCGACCCTCCCCTCGTTGGTGGCCGCGCCCGGGACGGACCCGAAGCGGACCCACCCTCCCTTGCCCCTGCCCGCGGGGAGGCCCGGAGGCCCCGTCCGCGCGGGGAGCGGTTTCCCGCCGGGGCGCTTTGGCAGGTGCGCGCCGTGACTTCCGGCGTTGCCCGGGAGCCGCCGGAGGAGGAGCGGCACAGGGGATGCGGCGGTGGCGGCGGCGGCGGCGGCCGAGCGCAGGAGGCGACTGTGGCGGCGGCGCGGGGCGCGGGCTGGCGATGGCGCGGCGGCGCTGAGCGCGCGGGGCGGGCGGCGGCCGGAGGGCGCGCGGCGCGGGAGGACGCGGCGGCGGCGGCCCCATGGCCCGGGCGCGCTGAGGGACGCGGCTCTCGCCTGAGCCCGGCGGCGGCGGCCGAACAATGAAGCTCCTGAAGCCGACCTGGGTCAACCACAATGGTGAGTGAGCGCGGGGGGCGCGGGAGGCCGAGCCCGAAGTCGGGCCGGGGTCTGGAGCAGGGGCAGGCCCCGCCCGCCTCGCCCCGACACCCGGTGCCCAGTGCCGAGCCGCGAGGCCGGCGGGAGCGGACTTTGTCCTCGGTGCGGGGAGGCCGGCGAGCCCGGGCACGTGCTCTGCGTGGCCGCAGCCAGGTCCGCCCTTGCCCCCGGCACTTGCGCGGAGCCCTCGGCTGCCCACCCGTGGTCTGCATGGAGACCGTGGCCCTGGGCGCCGGCCACCGCCTGCCACTTGTGTGCATTGGCCGGGAGGTGTCCAGGTGGTCCAGTGTGCGACCCTGGGACCGACCCCCCCGTGGCCTTTCAGTGTCGGGACAAGGACCTGAATCTGCGTGTCTCTGCCACGCAGAGGGGCTGTGACTGCCCTCGGCGAGACCTGGATCTGGTGACAGTGCCCCCATTTGGGGCACTCTGGCCCGGGGCTGAGTTCCCTCAGGTGAAGGAACCCCATCTGTGCTGTGCTGGGGTGTGAGGCTGATTGGAATGGTGACCGTAGGGCAAGCGCGTGGTAGGAGAATGACTTCCTTAGCTCGGGGGCAGTGGTCCCGAGGTGCAGCCTGGGGGACAGTCGTTTCCAGTCCTCTGGTCGAGAACAGGCTCTGGTGCAGAGAAGCCCCCAAAACGAGGACAGCAGTTTTGTCCCAATTCTGCCTTCTCGCAGGAGTTGGCGTTTGCTCTCCAGGGAGGTGAGCCGCGGGCCCCCGTCCTCCTGCTGACCTCTCTGAAGCCCAGGGGGCGCTCCTCCAGCTCAGGGCCCATAGCCTGATTCTGGCCAGGAAAAGGGTCACCCTGATTGTGCCTGTTCCTCATTTCTACTTTGTAATGCGACTAGAGGGAGCTACAGTGTTTTTTTAGAATTAGTAAAGTGGGTGCTTTTGCCTTTTTAATAGATGTAGCTTCTTAGTTTTGAACTTGACGCTGGGATGCTTTCCACATCTGCAACTAAACTGAACCGAGTCTTTCAGTCGCAAGTGCTGTCTCCTTCCATCTTCTTGTGCGACATTGACCTCATTTTTCTGGATGCGGTGAGGTCGCTTTTTCTTTTTGTTTACCATTCCTCCTGAGTTACTCCATTAGAGGTGCTCTCTCTGTGGGGAAGTCTCCCACATGTACCCCCAGGGTGGGGAAGTCTCATTCCCCTCTGTAGTCCCTGCCACACTCAGCAAGGCCTTCCACGTAAAGGGCCTTTGGTGAATGTTGGCTAAAATAGGTAAGAAAGTTGAGGTTTCCCTCATATACAAAGATATAACTAGATTTGCTGTGCACAAAAGCCAAAGCTATGAACTTCAGTTTCATTGGTCCTATGTTGATCTCCAAGAGCATTTCCTGATGTGTAGCGTGCAGATCTTACCCTGGAGAACTGGCCGAGTGTTCAGTGATTACAACTAAGATGCTTGTAAATCAGGATAGGAAAAATTTTATTAAGAACTAGTGTGCCGTGTAAGTGAAGATCTAAAGGAATTTTAAGTGTTCTGCCTAGATCAGTTTGGGCGTATAGTCCACCCTTCTCTAGCTCTCTTCTACTTTCTGCCATATAATTTCTAGCTCCATGATCAGCTTCTTTGTAGGACAGAAGTTTTATGCTGTATAAGCAGAAGTAAGTGATTATCTGGTATAAAGGAGAGAGTCTGCAGCTAGGCCAGCAGCCAGACGTCCCAGCCGGGCAGCACTGGCAGAGTACTGGGCCCAGGCCTCTTGCTGCCGCAGCCTCTCCACAGCCCTAGAACTGAACAGGATGATATCTGCTCTGCCTTCTTCACAGTACAATTGTGATGTCCGGTTTGAAAGGTAGACCCAAAAGTGGTCCCCAGACCAGAAAGTGCTTTAGATATCCAAGAGATGATAATAAAAAAAATTGAGACTCTGGCTGGGTGGGATTTAGCCTCTTTTAAACTTGTGCTTTGCTGAATTTGCTTTCTTTTAAAATCTCCTGAAATCAAACTCTGTCTCACAGAGTGTTTAGAAGGAGCATTGGGGTAAATGACCATTACCCTGAAGGACATGATGGTGGGCTGGATAGCTACTGAGCAAGCCTTTAAAGACTGGTGAATAGTGGGAGCTGCTGGCAGCAGGGTCTGCTTAGCCAAGAGCCTGAGCGGTGGGTAGTGGCTGGTGAGATTGGGCTTACTTAGGATTGACAAACCAAAACGATCACGGTGCCTTACAGACTGCATCATTGCACTTCTGGCCTCCTGATTCTGCTTTCATGTCTCCTAAATTGTTTTGCATCTTGAACGTACTTTTCCTCGTGTCTGAGAGTCCAAAGAGGGGAGGCGTAGAAAGCCCAGCATTTTCATTTTCCCCATGGTGATGGGATCCATTCAGGCAGGGTGCAGAGAACAGCTAAAACAGGGCCAGTTAAAGGAAGCAGAGGGAGAGGTACCTCTGGAGGTGTTGCACACTTTTGGTCTTCAGTTTCCTGAAGGCACCGATGGCAGTGGTAAGACCTTTCCTCTAAGGGAGATTTCTCAGCCTCAGCACTATTGACATTTGGGGCCATATAATTGTGGGGACTGTCCTGTGCATTATAGGATGTTGGCAGCATCCCTGGCTCTATCCATCAGATGCCACTAGCACCCACTTACACACACACACACAGTTGTGACCACCAAAAATGTCTCCAGACATTGCCAGTGTTGCCTGGTGGCCAGAGTCACTCCCAGTTTAGAATCACTTCTCTAAGGTGATTAGTAAGTTAATAAATCGTGAGGTTGCCATATCACGGTGGAATGAGCCTCAAACATGGTATCAGACTAGATTCAAGATGCCTTTGCTTGTTAGCTGTGAAGTCCCGAGCCTGTAACTCCACCTGTAGGCCTTGGTAAAGTTGGATAAAGACGCACCCCTGACATTTCATCCTGCACCCAAGTATAAAAAAGTCTTAAATTTATAACTTATGTAGAAGTTATGTGCCAGGCACTGTTCACACACACATTTTGCTCCGTGTTCTTGGCTGTACTATTCATATATATTTAATTTTATTTTAGGCTTGGCCAAAATAAAGTTCATTTTTATGCTAGGTTATGACCGTATATTGGTCAAAAAGTGAAAGCAATTGGTTTTTAGTTGTAGAAAACTGTAGTTTGTGTGTCTAGAAAATTTTGAGATTCATGGTTCTTCCCCTCCCTGGGCCTTTGTTCCTGAGAGTGTTGTCTGGAATTCTCACTCCTGAGCAGACAGTGTCCACGCTCAGCTCCTCAGAGAAGCCGCTCCTAACCAGAGGGGCTAGGACTGAAAGAGCTCTCGTTCTCCTTTGGCCTCTGGCTCACATTTTGATGGCAGTGTTGTAAAAAGGTGTTCAGCAAATTTTCAGTAATGGAATAAATTGTCAGCTAACCACGTTGCTGTATGGTGTGTGTTTTCTCTCCTCTCCTATGACTGGATTATTTTCCCCTACTCTGTCTCATTCCAAAAAGGATAAGGTATCCTGAGACATATGCTGCATCTGGGTGAGAATAAGTAAGTCAGCTTGAAGGGGAAATGGGGACAGGATGGTGCAATAATGAAGTCAGCAGCGGGTGGGGAAAAAGGCCCTGTACAGCTGCCAGAGGGGCACTGCAGACTGTCTCTGAGAATAGACTGGGAAGGGTCCTAATGATGAGAGTTCATGATTGCAGAGGTCATTAGATAAGCTTTGCAGTTGTCCTCGGTCAGGGGTTTTTATATGTGCCAGTGTCTAGAGACATTTTTGGTTTCACAACTGCATGGGAATGTGGCTGGCATATGGTGGATAGAGGCTGGGGCTGCTGCTGAATACCCTGTAGTGTATAGAATATTCCCCCATGATAAGAATCATTTTGCTCCAAATGTCAGTAGTGCCAAGGTTGAGAAACTTTGCTCTAGGTAAGAACATCTTTATTGTTATTTACCGGTTTGAAAGGTAGACCCAAAAGTGGTCCCCAGACCAGAAAGTGCTTTAGATATCCAAGAGATGATAATAAAAAAATTGAGACTCTGGCTGGGTGGGATTTAGCCTCTTTTAAACTTGTGCTTTGCTGAATTTGCTTTCTTTTAAAATCTCCTGAAATCAAACTCTGTCTCACAGAGTGTTTAGAAGGAGCATTGGGGTAAATGACCATTACCCTGAAGGACATGATGGTGGGCTGGATAGCTACTGAGCAAGCCTTTAAAGACTGGTGAATAGTGGGAGCTGCTGGCAGCAGGGTCTGCTTAGCCAAGAGCCTGAGCGGTGGGTAGTGGCTGGTGAGATTGGGCTTACTTAGGATTGACAAACCAAAACGATCACGGTGCCTTACAGACTGCATCATTGCACTTCTGGCCTCCTGATTCTGCTTTCATGTCTCCTAAATTGTTTTGCATCTTGAACGTACTTTTCCTCGTGTCTGAGAGTCCAAAGAGGGGAGGCGTAGAAAGCCCAGCATTTTCATTTTCCCCATGGTGATGGGATCCATTCAGGCAGGGTGCAGAGAACAGCTAAAACAGGGCCAGTTAAAGGAAGCAGAGGGAGAGGTACCTCTGGAGGTGTTGC